GGATAAAAGTAATAACCTTTTCATGAGGTCAGAATGGGCGTTCCTGCACGCTGTTAGCTTTAACAGTGTGACTTTCCGTTGTTACACTCAAACTTCCTCAGCATATGTATTCCGAACTAGGTTAAGTAGAACAGTAATCTTGAGGAGAGATGTCGCTGAAAGTGGGTTTCCCCCCTCGCTGATACTTTAGGAGTCGAAGTCTTATTTCAATATATGAGTTAAAGTCTGATTTGTGAACCTGATTTTGAAAAGACTGAAAACCAATTTTACCGTTTATGGAGGTACCAGTATGGAAAAAAAAAATGAAAATCCTGATTACCCTGAATCTGGGAGTTGTAAAAAGATAATATCGTAAAACACCCATACGGGTTTATGACGATTCCGTTGAAACTAAAGGCTACTGTACGGTACTCAGTGTAGTTTAGATGTTTTGGTGTTATTAGGTCGGGAATATTCCTTCTTTCTTTTCTCTTCGTTTTGATTTTCTTCGTTACGTATGAATGACATCTTCTGCGAATTTCTACTCAATGTTTTTTATTGTGATACAATTTGAAATATTGTTTGGAGTAAAAAGGTACTTTCATTACAAGAGAATGTCCTAATAAATATTGCAGAATTTCTATATAAATGTATATAACTCAGAATCAATGAGAAATTTTGAAAGCAGAAAACATAATGATGAAACAGTATGCATGCATAATTGTCTATAACCTTGAGGCAATATATAGATTACAGACTGTGTTTTTGTATTCTTCTGCTGATTAAAATGACAATATTGACGCCACTTATTACATTCATATGACGTCATATTTCAGACCTGGGCAAGTTCGGATAGGCAATACGTGGTTAGGCCCACGTTGCAATCAGCAGAATTATGACGTCATAAAACATGCAACGTCAGATTTTCCCGCCACTGTCACGACTCCCCATGCGTGTGTTGCCTGGGCCGAGCATGTCCTAGCATCAAGCGCCTAGCCTGGCCCACAAATTCGGATATTACAGCTATACAGACGTCATTGCTTGGTTTATATATATATAAAGCTACCAGTATGTGAAGCGGACAATGAGTTACACAAATACAATAAATGTATACTACTTAAATAATTAGCAAATCAGTTTCAAGAAAGAGAGTGAGGTCATGGTTTTCTTTTTACTCTGACAAAAGTAACATCTTCCTTTTAAAAAGTTAATAATTGAGTTTGCACATCATTTTTTCGTGTGAATGTCTCGTCAAGTCAAGTGAAGTATTTGCTCAAGACCAAAAATCCAAAGGGTGACCAAAGTTACCCGGGCCGAACTTGCCCCGGTCTTTCCCTAATTATTACAATTGTGATAATATTACGTATGTATAATCATTTTCCGTGTTTCGTGTCATTAAGTAGATATAAATGAGAGAAAATGTTAATAAATTGTAATAACTTGTGCCTGGACCGTTATTCTGATATCTTGACAGAAACCGATAAAACACGAATGCGCCTGCCGCCCGGTTTCGTTTAAAGGCGCGTTCGTGACGGTAGACAATATACTGTCATCATGAAGATGGATTCATCAGATTCCTATTGTTTATTAAACATGCTCTGTTAATTGATATAAATAGGATCAAATTCTCGTATTAAGTAATGCTGAAAATTGCCGCCATGACAAAGCGATAAATCGTCAAGATCGTCCTTCATTTTGTATTGAAGTCGCTTGTAACAGGAATGTAAGCTGAGAGAAGTCGCTTGTAACAGGAATGTAAGTTGAGAAAGACATTTTCATGGTTGTTGCCCGGTAACATATTTGAGCAGCACTGTCGGTGTTTACTAGCTTAATCATGTGAAGTCATTTTATACCATTCCGGATATATATGAAAACAGGAAGTCCGTCTTGTTGTTTATTCCTCAACTTTCAAGTTCCTGCGCGGATTGATTTCATTAATATTAAGGAATAACGTGTTAGATGATTCCTCAGATGATACAAAGGTAAGATTTAATATCTTATTCACGAAACGTAAGTTTAAGGTCCGAATTCCTGGAATATCTTTTCTGTTTAGAGGAATGCTATCACGATCAGGTTTGTAATAAATAACCCACCCTGTTCAGCGTTTATGGTAGGTTGTAGTTTGATTCGACTTCTAAACGAATATAGACTCTAATAACAAAATTGCATTTGGAATAACAATTTCATGTAGGCCTATATAGAAGCTTAAACCTTGGACTTGGACTATCATATTAAGATGTAGAGATAAAGAGTCATTAAACCTATTTCGGAGCTCATTTTTAGTAAATTTTACCTAGAACTTGAGTTAATCAGTTATGATTTATTATGCATTCATTAAAGAACAAATGATGTTTTATCAAAAACGAAAAAAAAAAGATTTGAGGGACCAGTACGACAATCACCAAAACATATCTAGTTAGAAACTTTACTTAGTCTAATAAATCCTACTCACTTCAGTGGGAGTTACGTCCCTTTATATATATAAAGTGCTTCATTGTGCGTTGATCCCAGTGGAACATGCCTGTGGCCACATTGACAAAGGCTGTGATAGGACAATGGTTCAGTCCGAGATGTAACGTCAGTGTACCAAAATGGATACAGGACCCAAATGGATACCACATTTTTATAAAGTCTTTTAAAATCATCGTTGATAAAATCTGCGAAATTTCACGTTTTTGATGTTACAATGTTAACATTAACCGTTGCTTTATAAAAATATGATATCAATTTGGGTACATTGGCGTTATGAAATGTCTGTTGGTTTTCAAAAACAGTGACGTTATGGTTTGGGGAAGTTTTTGTAATATGTCCTAATATGATAAATTTCAACTGTACTAAATTGCTCTCCCTATTCCATCCCACTGTACACATTAGTTTATTGTAATACATATAATGATAAAATATTTGATCATTTCTGTTTGTTTGGTCAATAACTATTGTAATAATTTAAACCAAACGTACACGTGTATGTAGGAGCGGATGTTGTAAAGCGATGAACCGTTAGTACAACTATTTGTACTGTGATATGCAAAATTTCGTTAAAATAAATTTCTGTACTTGTATATAAAGTTAGCTTATTGGCGCACGTATTTTAGAAATTAAAGCAACAACAGAAATATCACCATTTACGCAAGACAATTCCGGAACATTGTGTCATTATCTCAGACTCCCATGATTTAGCTGAGTCCCAATAACACAAAGGAATCGGGAGCATTACCAGTGACTGGCAGTAGAGTTGGATCTGTTCTGACGGACGCAATGATGTAATATCGTTTTGTTTCAAAATTCAAAAAGGACAATGAATTAACAAAGACAAGTGTGTTAAATGGTATCCAATTCTTCATCACTGTTGATTGAAAATAAATCGCAATCCGTCCATTTTTGAAAGGTATGTGTGAAATCTAGAGCACTGAATACGAAACCATAAAATATGTTACCAGCAGAGGTCGCTGATGTTGTTAAGGAGAACCCCAGGGATCATCGTCCCAACCCCGACACTTGTGGGGCCAAGGTCTGATACGGGAAAAGTTGTGACAATCTTTCTGTCTATGACAGAAGGAATTATAACCTCTTTTTAATGAGCTTTCCGGGACCTAGAGAATTACTTGTTGTCAATAAACGGTGTCATACAGTCATAAACGATCATATGGGACCAGAGGCGTATATACTACTGACAAGATACACAAGATACCAGAAGTTTTATTTAGAGTCGTATATGGCATAACATTGAACATTAGCTCTGTGGAGCTATTTTTACGACAAAGAGTAATAACAAGGTAAAAGGCAGGCTAGTAGAAAAGGTAGGATTTGAAGCATAACCATATACATTGAACTACTAAAATAATCAGAAAACAGTTTGATGATAGCACATACATGTAAAAAAGCAGGAACAGTTCTAATTATAACATAAGCATAAATCATAATCATAAAACATAAAAACATAAAAACATATCAGGTTTTGCAAGCACATATTTCATATATATCACAGATGGTTAATTACGATACTTTATATTGGAAAATGATGGAATAAAATACTCAGATAAATTAAAGTAAAGTAAGAAGCAAAATAAAAGCAAAAATCTCAAATAAAAATGGGGGATCAATAAGATGAAAGTCACGAACATATAGAACACTGGCAGAGGTCACCTTCCCAGGTGTGCAACAGCCTACAGAAAACCTTGTAGTTTTCTGCTTGTCTAACCTCATTTGGTAGGCTATTCCACACCTGGGCGGCTTCAAAACGAAAAGATTTCTTGCCATATGTGGTAGAATTTACTCTTGGTGTAGTCACAGTGTCAACATTTCTAAAATTATATAAAACTTGTTTTTTGTTGATAAGACTCTTTAAGAATTCTGGAGCAACATTATTTAAAATCTTGTATACTTCATTGGCCATGGTCTTCAGCCTACATATATGTAAAAATTCTAATTTATTTCTATCTAAAAGATCTTTAATAGAAGAGCTATAATCATTATCAATAAAACGTAAATCTCTATCTTGTATCTTTTCAATTTTTCTTGTATTTCTGATACTGCAAAAATGCCATGAGAGAGGACAAAAATTAAAATTAGATAAAATAAAAGATTTAAAAATGGTGACTTTGCCTTTTTTTGTCAGACGATTTCCAATTCTCTTGAGTATACATAGTTGTTTGGAAGCCTTCCTACATAAGTTTGCTGTATGATTTTCAGATTTTAGATCACTGTCAATTTCAACCCCAAGCAAAGTCACACTATCTGTACATGTACTTGACTTCAAATGTCTTTGGTGGGACGTAGTATATCGGTTCTTCGTGAAATATTTTTTAGGTTATGAACCTAAATTCAATCATTTTATTGCTCATTTATAGTTACAAAGTATCTTGAAGGCAAACATAATTTGTCGTATGAAGCCGAACAGCTTAGTGTTTATACACGGTGTCGATCCCCAGGGGCACAGTCAGCGTCTTATCTCGTGACCGGCCATACGAGGGTTCGGCGTGTTTACAAAACTCGTCCAGTTTGTGATTATAAATATTTCAGTCGTGTAAATACGTGCGTATAAATGTATGTGTACGGTTTTATAACCCACCTGTTGTTCCGTATCGATTACCTGAATACGCAGGTATCGCTGAGTCAAGGAGATCTAGATGGAACCTAATACCCAGGTATACACACATACACTGGATGTACCGAGAACATAGACGAAATGTTTGAAAACGCACCGATGTGTGTCGACATCCTCTTACGACTATTTGTATAGCATTACGCTTAACTCACAATTGATCTGCACAGATCATCCAACAAAATCCAAGTGTCGCCTTTAATTTTCAGTGTAGATATAGGACATATGGGCGCTGTTTGGTTAGTGATTTTGTCCCATTGGTTGTGGCTCGCAGGGCAGGGTTTATACACCCATAACAAAGGAATGCAGAATACCCAATAAAAGCCGAGGCTCGATCGACTGTGTCTACCTGAGCGAAACGGCATCAGGTGTATTCGCGTGGTAGAATGGTATGTACTATATCGTGTAAACCTAGACTGACCCTGTGTATGTGTGGACACGACTAGACTTCAGTTCGGAGTTTGGACATATTTATATATACTGCAGCACCTTCTACAGACATGACAACAGGTAAGTACATTAGTACACAGGTGGTGACCAGAACCTGTCGCCCGAATCGTGGAAGGGTTTACACCATGTTTGGCTCAAACTGTGTAATGTTCTGCCGTCCTAGCTGTATAGGGTGTACCCGGGTATAGCCGACGACAAGAACGCTATAAACAGGTCGTGTACATTCATTGTTTTAACTATACAGGTATGGTCAAGGATTTGTCCTCGAGACTAACAAACCCTTGACATGTTTAGAATGGTTGCTTGTAAACAGAATTCAAAGTAAACAAAAATGTGTATAGAAAGACACAAAATATGCATTAAAAATACAAACCTTGGTCTATTTTTAGACCGAAGAGGTAACCACTAAAGTCATAAACCGTGTTATGTAAATAAGGACCTTACACAATTTCAATATTGGATAGATGCCATGTCCCAGGATTTGGAAGCAGTCTAGCAGTCAGTTTTTTGGGTTTTTTTCCCCCTGCGCTGTATCAAAGTTTTGTTCTTTTTAAGAATCATCGGTCATGCCGAGCCGTTATATATAGGCCCTGTCATAACTACGTGATTAGTTATGAATAATGAATAATCGTTTTACTCGGGGCTTATTTTTAATAAGTTAACACACAATGTACCTGTTGTATCAGTGACCACGGTATTTCTGTCGAGTTTCAGACATCCTCGTTACTCCGGGGGGTAAGGATCTCCTACGTAACGTCATCCTCGTTACTCCGGGGATTACGATCTCCTACGTAACGTCATCCTCGTTACTCTGGGGTTTACGATCTACTAAGTAACGTCATCCTTGTTACTCCGGGGATTACGATCTCTTACGTAACGTCATCCTCGTTACTCCGGGGATTACGATCTCCTACGTAACGTCATCCTCGTTTCTCCGGGGATTGTGATCTCCTACGTAACGTCATCCTCGTTACTCCGGGAATTGTGATCTCCTACGTAACGTCATCCTCGTTACTCCGGCGATTACGATCTCCTACGTAACGTCATCCTCGTTACTCCGGGTATTGTGATCTCCTACGTAACGTCATCCTCGTTACTCCGGCGATTACGATCTCCTACGTAACGTCATCCTCGTTCCTCCGGGGATTGTGATCTCCTACGTAACGTCATCCTCGTTCCTCCGGGGATTGTGATCTCCTACGTAACGTCATCCTCGTTACTCCGGCGATTACGATCTCCTACGTAACGTCATCCTCGTTCCTCCGGGGATTGTGATCTCCTACGTAACGTCATCCTCGTTACTCCGGGGTTTACGATCTCCTACGTAACGTCATCCTCGTTACTCCGGGGATTGTGATCTCCTACGTAACATCAGTGAGCTAATTATAACCTCTGGAATTTCGAGGATATAGTTCGGAAAACTTGACAGGTAGATTGGAAATTGTAAGTTTTATTCTGTAATTATTCTCTATTCTCCCTTTCTTTTTATTTTCTCAATCTCTATCTCAATTCATTATTTCGTTTTGTTATTTATTGTACATTGCATTGATGAAAAATCTGAATAAAAAGATAATTTAAAAAAAAAGTTTTATTCTGTAAAAAATAGGTAAGAAATCGGACGTTTATTTTTCAGATAGACAAGGTGTTTATTAGCTTTGTAAGTCTTAAGTCAAATATGTAGAATAGGAAGTGTTCATTAGATAAACAGTTTTTTTGGTCAGATAGAAAGGATATTGCTAGTTCTAATATATTTTTTGACGGGTTCGAAATTGTTTCTTTGAATTTGCTAGATAGATAGAAACTTGTTAATTTTAATATGTTATATATGTTCGGTATTGTTAGTTATATTTTGTCACATAGGTACGAAATTGAAAATTTTATGTTGTCAGATTAGAACAAAATTTATATTATTAGAAATAAGGAAATTGTAAATTTCGATGGATAGTTGGGTAGGATATTGACATTTTCAGTCGGTAGATAGGTAGGGAGTCCACGGCCAGTTTTATGATGTCAGATGTAGGTAGGTTACTGTCGTCAACTGAGGCCAGAGATTCTGACATTCAGACCAAGTACCTGTATGTTAGACGAGGTAAACACAAGACGTACAGAACACATCACAAAGTACATACACATCTTAATGTTATATTTGTAAAATCAGCTATTTTAAGAACAGTGTTTTAATACATGTTGTTGAACATTGCACAGGGGTAGCAACCCATTCGTTATGTGGTAGTTTATGTTTGTGTATTAATATTTAGGTATGTGTTACGTGTGTGTGTTTTAACTCCTTATATACTTCCACAGAAGGGATAGTGTCTTTAAGTCACATTTCGGCCCAGTAAGTAGAGGTCAGGTAAACAACAATATTGTGTGTAACTGTCTACATGGTCGGGACATGTAAATAACTATATATCGTGTCATAATATGCGAAAAACTTTTCATTGATATGCCTCATCTATATAACAGCGTGTCTGATTGGATTATATAGTCACAAGATGGGGACATAAAACCTCGTGTAAATCTGACGCGCTCGAGTTTCTCCGGCCATATTGTCACAATTCGGAGTTTCTCTACAGGAAAGTGGAAGTCACCACACATGTGACTTCCGAATGACTGAAACAGGCGATTAACAATGGCTCGTCAACCTGATCAACTTCACTGTTGTATTATTTCAGTATAATAGAATCTTTGTTATTCTTGTCTTGATGAAACGAAGAATCACGTTTTCTCTAAACCAAGGGCAGTAAATGTATTATGTTAATCATCATATTTGAATCCCTCTGTTCAAGAAAATAACTCGCCTTTTATCGTCCATAATAGGTTTTAGATAACAAGCCGACAGTTGTTGGAAGCCCAATACACAAGTGAAGATATGTATGGTGGCATATTTCTGCCATCGTGTTATTCTAGGTCGCGTTACGGTAACACGACTTGTCGAGATAATTATGTCGACAAGTTGTGTTATTTCATTTCATTAACGCGACGTTTCACAAAATTATGTCGACCTGTCGCGATAATTTATCTTGACCGGTCAAGTTGGATTATCACGGATCTCGACCTAAATTTTGCTTTTGCCCAGATATGCCATCTAGTTAGTTTTTGCCGCGATAAGTTATAAATAGACACTCGGTCATTCTGGAACATCTCGGGATTTACGCTATACTCTATGTATTGCTGGCTAGTACCTTGCAGTGAGCAGCCGCAGCAAGTCGAACATACACGTAAGTACAAATGTAGGAACAGAAACTGTTGTTTCATCGTGTAATATCCATAAAACAATGCAATCTAATGATTAAT